TTTTTTTTTTTTTTTTTTTTTTTTGTATTTAATTTAATAAGTTTGTTAACTTAATTTTTTTTTTAATTTTGTATTTAATAAAAATTTAAATTATATTTAAACTTTATAATTAATATAATATTAATATTTTAATTTTGTGTCGGAAGATTCAGTAAATCACATAGGGTGGGCTGGTTCTTTTTCTAACTTAGCCTGGCTTTCAACTCCATCTCGGCCTCGAACTCGCATATTCAATCCTTCTATCACGGTAAACAAGGTAAACCCCTATCTGGTTGATATAAAATTAAAATTTTAAATGCATCTTTGGTAAAGTTGTAATTTAATAATTAGAATATTTATTAATTTTCTAAAAATGTTATAATTTACGAGAAAGATTTTAAAAATATGGTTAAAATAAAACAGAAATTCATAACAATCTTCACATTTGGAATATATATGAAGTAATTTCTCTAAAAAAAATAGAATTTAAGCAATATAGAAGGACACGTGTCGCCATAAAATAAATCGAAAGGGATTTTCGGAAGATCTCGATTGAGAGAGAAGAATCAGTCACGTTCTTTTTTGTTCATGTTTTTTCCATAATCATCATTCAGAGAAAAGTACGTCAAAAATTGAGATTAATAACCATTTCGATCTCCTTCAAATTCGAATCTCCTGCGTATTTCGAGCTCACGCAGATGGAGGAAAATAGATCACAGCACCACGTTTCTCGGCCATGGATTGCCTTGTGGTTTCTCCTTACGACCTAGTCGCTACTCCCTACTCTGTCGTCTCCGATTTCATTTTAGGTACTTTAGTTTTTCATAATTTCCTTTTCCCCTCCAATGCAACTATCTGTGACTAAGCATTTCGATTCTTCTATCTCTTGATCGCATTTTCATGTAACATCATAAACTACGTTGGTGTCTATCGCCACTGTTTTCGAATTTGACGTTCCAATTGTGTATATGTTCGTGGTGTTTAGTGTCATCGGATCATAGGAAGTCAGTTTTCAGTGTCATCAGCGTTCATTTGATGTAACTGCTTTTGCTGGCTAGGAGAGTTATTATAATTCATCGCATTGGTAAGGATGAGGGGAGCTGTGCTCGTTGCGACCGCTGCTGCAATAGGTAACATGTTGCAAGGTTGGGATAATGCGACAATTGCAGGTACGATCGGTATACTTTCTAAATGTTTGTGGAATATCTGGAGCATAAGTAATCTGTTTAATCTCTAGAACTTCTTTTTAAGGTTCAGGGATGAGAGGAATTAGTTTAACATTGAACCTGTTTTGAGACTGTATTCTGGGCCTATAAAATGTAAAAATGAGCCTATTAAACCGAGCTTCTGAAAGTACTCCGCTAATGCATTTCAGGAGCTGTTATGTACATCAAGAAGGAATTCAAATTGGAAGGTGATCCTACAACTGAAGGGCTAATCGTGGCCATGTCACTAATTGGAGCAACAGTTATTACAACATTCTCGGGACCCTTATCCGATTCAATCGGTCGGCGTCCTATGATGATAATGTCCTCGATTCTTTATTTCGCCAGTGGTCTTGTTATGTTCTGGGCACCTGATGTTCATGTCCTGTTATTAGCCAGGCTTTTAGATGGGTTTGGAATCGGGCTTGCTGTTACCCTGGTTCCTGTCTATATTTCTGAAACTGCTCCAGCAGAGATTCGGGGGCTGTTAAACACCCTACCTCAGTTCACTGGTTCTATTGGAATGTTTTTGTCATACTGTATGGTTTTTGGAATGTCCTTGACGAAATCACCTAGCTGGAGAATGATGCTTGGGATCCTCTTTATGCCATCTCTAGTTTACCTTGCTTTAACTGTACTGTTTCTCCCTGAATCTCCACGTTGGCTTGTCAGCAAAGGCCGAATGAACGAGGCCAAGGAAGTTCTGCAAGCACTACGTGGCAGAGAGGATGTTGCAGGGGAGCTAGCCCTGCTGGTCGAGGGTCTGGGTTCAAGTGGAGACACGTCCGTCGAAGAGTACATAATTGGCCTAGCATCTGGAGAATCGAGTATGAGAAAGGGTCAGATCAGGTTATATGGACCTGAGGGAGGCCAGTCTTTGATTGCCAAACCTGTTACTGGACAGAGTACATTTGGCATAGCATCCCGCCATGGTAGCATTGTTAACCATAGTATGCCATTGATAGATCCTGTGGTAACTCTCTTTGGCAGTGTCCATGAGAAGGTTCCTGGTGAGACAGGAAGTATGCGCAGCATGCTTCTTCCAAATTTTGGAAGCATGCTCAATAATATGGCGGGCGATCAGCAAGGTACGAGGATAAAGTTTCACCATTCCTGAAGTTTCTCTTTAATATTTATGTTTGAATTAGATCATTTTTTTGTGTTAATAATGTATGCCATTTATGAATTTCTTCTACATCTGTTTTCAAATTAAAAATCCCCAAGTTTTCACCATCATAGTTCGTTCATAGCTCTCTCTCTCTCTCTCTCTCTTTTTTTTTTTTTTTTTCC